AAAACAAATTTATTAATTTAATCAAATGCAATTCTGGAATCCGCAGCCGGTCGCGGAAATTCAGTGCATGCATATGCAGCAAGAACAAATATTTACTTCGGTGGACGTGTGTTGTTGCCGACCTGCGGCCTGTACAGTCGCTCTGTCCTGGCCAGACGAGCGCGAGGAGCCTGCTGGCCATGATAGCCTGGCGGGTGAAGCTCGCTGGCCTCGAGAACCGACCCGGCCTCGTCACGCTTAGGATGCGTGGAAGCGTGGCGCGTAGTGCCCTCGGCTTGTACCCTCCACCAGGCCACCCGCAGAGAACGGGTGGTTCAGCGGACAAACCGTGGTCACGTCGTGCACGGGTAACACGCTAAAGGTTCTCAGGTTCGGCAAGCTCAAAGCTCAAGAAGAAAGTATATGCATAGTTAGTTCCAGTGAGCAATGGAATCTGGGTCCAAACGGCGCATAATGCGTAACAAACTCGGACCCATCTACCGACCCGGATCTTCTAAAGGAATTGTTATCTTATCTTTCTGTCGAGAAAGCATTCATCGTCTGGACCAGGGGTACATTGCTGTCGTTTTTCGCGGTGCAATTTAGTGCCCCTAAAACTAAGCCACGTTGTCCGGATATTACTTGTCTGCTCTGTACGGAATCAATGCAGACTCTAAACGCATTGCATGTGATGCTGGTTCTGACCCCCACTCCGAGTACTGCAGCACAACTCTGCGTCGTCTCCGATTCCGACTCAAGGCGGACGTGGCCAAATTCACGCGTGATGCTGATGAATTTGTTCTGGCAACAACGGCTCAGAAATCCATTTGATAACACATTTGTCGGGTACCATTGAAGCCACCATGTTTTTTTACCCCAACGTAGATATACACACACACACACACACACACACACACCACACACACACACACACACAACACACACACACACACACACACACACACACACACACACACACACACACACACACACACACACACACACACACACACACACACACACACACACACCCACACACACACACACACACCACACACCACACACACACACACACACACACCACACACACACACACACACACACACACACAACACACACACACACACACACACACACACGCACACACACACACACACACACACACACACACATATTTGTTATATATATATATATATATATATATATATATCACAAATAAGATTTGACTGTCTGCATAATAGTTTGCATATTACTTTGCTCTCTGCGTGCCGCACAGCGCTCCGATCATTGGGAGGCTTGTGGTGCGCTCTGCGTTTGTGTATATAAGGTCGGGAGTGTGTGGTCCGAGATAAGCGGCTATCTCACCATCTGGGCGATGCATTGTGAAATGGACAACAATGGAAAGACGCAATATGCGCATCGCACGTTCCAAAGGTATAACAGGAATGCTACCACTCAAGGTCTGTGAAAGATCCCAAATCTCCAGACGAAAACTTCTAAAAAAACTTCTCCAGAAAAAAACAGACTAAAATTCGTAGTATAGCTCAGCAAATACCGAATGGGATGTAAGTTGGGATGGCTGGGATTGTTCCAACATTTGAATTGGCTTGCGAAGTGTGCTGTGACTACGCAAAGTGGCGAGGTTCAGAGAATAGCCAAACTGATGTGGATCGAAGCGATTACGTACAATACAACACAATGCAATATTCTGCTGCTCGTATTCCTGCTGGAGTCTATGCACCGGATATTTGACTAGCTTGTGCTCGCGACGAAGGTTCAAAGGAATCGATTTCACTGCAACCCAACACAAATCTGTTTGATTCAGCATCCGATCCGATTCCGCCCGAAGTCTAGCATAGGTCTGTTTGGAATGAGTGCGCCAGATGTCAGAACTATCCGCGTGTTAGATCAACCGCTGTTTATTTGCTGGTCCCTGCATGCAACCAAACTAGATCGTAGAATGACAAAAAACACGGAAGGGTACGAAAGGAGTCGGGCTACAAAACCGATCAGCTGAAGCAAATTGGGACGGAATAATGAAGATTTGGCGTCGTCGATTTGGGCGCACGTTCTCAGATGTTCGAAAGCATGCTGCTGCTGTAGTGTTAAATATGTACTGACGTTTGAACCACTGATACCCACAGATATCAGCAGCCCTCACGCCCACAGATATCAGTGGCCGATATCCACAGATATCAGTGGTCGAACACATTGTTCGGCCTAATGTTTCTATGCCTGACGAGACCAAACTGATTCTACCGACTTTGTCTCACTACCGAATCTAACTTCGAACTTGCTTTCCTCTACTGGCGCCTTGGAGGCCGCTCCTTTGACAGAGCGGTGGCTGAAGCCGCGCACTCCATGCCATCTCACCGCCGCCCATGGCCTGGGTGTCAGGCCGGGGCGGCCGAGGCGCTGTCCGCCGCAAGTCTGCTAACAGGCTTGCCTACGGCAGCGACCACGCCGGTGTCGTTGACACCCCCGTACCCAGTGCCGTCTCGAGCTCAGGCGCCTCATCCCCTCCCCCCATGTCAGCCCCCCTCCCGTCTGCCATCACTTCCCCGGTTTTTCGACCACCCTCCGCCCATTGCGTGGAAAACTGAAGTTAGCATTTGTGTTTTACGAGCAGACGGACTGGTCGTTGGCTAGCGTTTAGAGTTGGCTGGGTGGGTTCGCCTGCGTCGCTGCAATTGAACCCATGTGCACCCCTTGTTGCCAAGCGGCTGTCGCGGGCCGCCGTACGCTAGCAGCGGAGGGGGGGGGGGTGCTGCAGACGGGTAAACGACCCCGCGGCGGGCCTGCGCGTCGGGCGTCACTCACGACGCAAGGTCAAACAGGCAAAGGCTGCCCGAAGCCTGCTTCGCCAGCCAAGCTCATCAGGAATGTGGCTCGTTTGAACTTCAACGCTACCTGCATGGGAAGCAGCTAAGTGGGCCTAATCCAATCCTTGTCTGCCCTCGAGGCCTGATCCCATGGTTGCAGAGCCGCGGCGACGCCGACTATCAGACACACCAGTGTGTAGGGTCGGTGTACAGCAAGTGCCGGCAAACGGCTGACTGGCACGCACCGTGTCGCCTGTGGCGCTTTCACCGACATAACCGCCAACGACGCTGGCAAACATGGCCACGAGATAATCATAGATGAGTCTGTGAACGGTGGGGCATCTGGTTCATTTAAATCAATAAGGCTTGGAACTAGTCTACAGCAGGCAAAGAATTGCTCACAGCCAAGCATTATAGCCAGACAGCAACAGCCACATGCACGTGGCAAAGAGGGTCTGAGCGCCGCAGGGAGACTGGCTTCTCGCTGGGCACGATTAGCTCGCGCGGTTCCATGGCAACACATGTCCAGTAAGCCAAACAATGTTTTCAAAAACTGCCGGATCCGAGTGATGCAATTACGGTTGTTAGTGCGGCGGCGTGGTGGATTGTCAACAGTCAGGAATGCATTGATTTTTAAGTCATTTGTAAGTAGCATGTCCGTTTCGCAGGCGCCAGGCAGGTTTTGCACCAGGCAGGTTATATATCCGTACATCGCTGGGTCCTGCTCTAGATTCCCAGCAACGGTGCACTGAACGAGGAACAGGGTAGGGCGCAAGGGTCCGCAATGATATGCAATCGTCCTCCATGGGCCGTAATCGTCCGCCATGAGCCGCAATCGTCCGCCATGAGCCGTAATCGTCCGCCACGAGCTGCAGTGGTCGGTTTTCGCTTCTCGGTCGTGGCTCGCATTGGGCAGTTGTGTACCGCTAGGTACACTCGCCTCTGCCTCTTGTTCCGAAGCCGCGTTTTGACAAGCTCAGTAATAAAGCGTGGAGTTTCTACAGCATGGTTAAATGCCACTCTCCGTGCATATTGCAAAACCAGTTTCCGTTAAACCCTTAGCAGTTTAGTGTCTGTGCCACTGGCATTGCTGCTTGACACCACCTGTCTGCGAACTAAAGATGAGTATCTGCGCTACTTGAAATCTAAATGCTATGCCCCATCTGCCTATACCGGATTTTTGCTCTTGTCCTGCATGTAATCAAAAAAAAAAAAATTCGCTGCTCACAGATGCTTTCATCAACGGTGCCTTGAGGCGTGGAGGTGTAAGTAACAAAACATTTCGAGGGGACAGGAGAAAGGGAAAACAGTGGACATACCATAGCACATAGATGCATTTACGTAAATGCTGGATCCTGGCTCCATTTTCTGTCGGCCCACGCAAGCTTACCAACCGATATTGCCACATCCACATTTGGGACAAAAAAAAAAATACGCCAAACTATCAATGTTCCCTGATGGCCCGATGGCGAGAAACTATGACGTTGACGATCTGACGGTCTCCCAAAAACCAGTTTAAATCGTGCCAAGCCTCTCCTGGACTGTTTGAACACACATGCATCTATCATAATTCGTTTGATGGATTTTTCAAGTCATCGCTGCGTTTTACTTCAGCCAGCTGGCTCTTCCTTCGTGAACGGCAGTCATCTGTCGTAGGCAGCTGATGCTGGGCTAACCAACCTTGTCGTCTGCCCTTCACAGGTTGGAAACAAGTATGAGCATCTGTACAAGATCCTCATCATCGGCGAGCTGGGCACCGGCAAGACGTCCATCATCAAGCGCTATGTTCACCAGTTCTTCTCGGCTCACTACCGAGCTACCATCGGGGTCGACTTCGCGCTCAAGGTGCTCCACTGGGACTCCAACACCATCGTGCGGCTGCAGCTGTGGGACATTGCCGGTAGGTGGAGCCGCCCCTGGCCGGCGCTGGAGACCTCGCGACACGGGTGGAACAGCGCATCTGATAAGACCGCCTTTCACATCTCTGGTCAAGTTTTGAAATATCCATTTTGTGTATGTTGGTCGAGGTAGTCAAGTCACGTTGCTGTTGATCTCTGCTACTGTGCACACTTCCTTCCACTACTGCCTATGAATACTTCTAATGCATTTAAGTTTTTTCGATCCAGCCATAAGCTGATCAGTACCGAAGCCGATTTTCACGGCATCTGAAATGAAGCTCACCTCTGGCACCCAGTGGTTTGGTTGTAAACCTGGCTCCCTCTCTGTTGTGCCGCAGGTCAGGAGCGGTTCGATTTGTTGTGCTTCAGGGCAGGGAAGGTTTGGTGTGCTGTGCTCCAGGACAGGAGAGGTTCGATGTGTTGTGCTCCAGATCGGGAGTGTTTCGATGTGTTGTGCTTCAGGACAAGGGAGGTTTGGTGTGCCGTGCTCCAGGCCAGGAAAGCTTCGGTGTGTTTGCTCCAAGTCAGAAGAGGTTCGGCGTACTGTGCTCCAGGTCAGGAGTGGTTCGGTGTGTTGTGCTCCAGGTCAGGAGAGGTTTGGCTCAATGACGCGTGTGTACTACAAGGAAGCGGTGGCGGCCTTCATCGTGTTTGACGTCACGCGGTCCGTGACCTTCGACGCCGTCATGAAGTGGAAGAACGACCTCGACGAGAAGGTTCAGCTGCCCAACGGTGACCCCGTGCCCTGCGTGCTGCTGGGAAACAAGGTCAGTCCTCGCGCAGGTTCAGCTGCCCAACGGCGACCCTGTGCCCTGCGTGCTGCTGGGAAACAAGGTCAGTCCTCGCGAAGGTACAGCTGCCCAATGGCGACCCTGTGCCCTGCGTGCTGCTGGGAAACAAGGTCAGTCCTCGCGAAGGTACAGCTGCCCAACGGTGACCCTGTGCCCTGTGTGCTGCTGGGAAACAAGGTCAGTCCTCGCATGAAATCGGAAACAGTGTGCTGCAGTTGTGACACGCCGTTGCGGTTGCGTCAAATAACCGAGTCAAGTAGTAACAAAGATACTGGAAACGTTCCATATTGGGAAGGCGTCAGATGAGAGCCACGTAATTCCAGTGAAGAACAGAAAAGCTTCCAAGGTCAAATTTCGAGGTCATGTTTAACGTCCAAGAATGAGGTAGTGCCGTGCCGCCGCTGTGTGGTTTCCATGCCTTCAAATGTGATATCATCTGAATGTTAAAATTCAGTCATCATATCCTGCCTGGGCTCCAAAAAGCACCAGAGTTAAAGTCAAATCTGAGGTCAACTTAAAGGTCACATGACGAGGTAGCGCCGCACGGGCGCTGTATGTGACCGATCTGCACAAATGAGGCGTCATTAGAATTTCCGTTATCAATTCCAGCCCGGGTTTCCAAAACACTAGATTGAAAGTGAAAACTCAAGGTCAAATAACGGGGTAGCGCCACATTACCGCTGCATGGGATCAATTTGTAACAACCAGGCGTCATTACAAAGCCCGTTGTTGGTACCAGCATGGATAATGGGAACTCCAAGCTGGAATGGAGGCCTTGAAAATTTGCGTTCTGGCTTGTTTTTTCCACAATCGACCTTGAAGTTCGACATTTTTTATCCCAGACTGTAAAAGACAATGGGTTTTCCAGTGACGTCTGATTAGCACAGATTGGTCCCATACAGCGACAGCGCGGCGCTGCTCCGTTCTTTTACCTTCAAGTTGACCTTAGATTTTGACTTTGACCCTGGTGTGTTTAGGCGCCCAGGCTGGGATCGACAACGGGCTTTGTAATGACACCTCAGCTGTACGCGGGGGTCCCATACAAAGGTTTGCGCCCTACCTTGGCCTTTTATGTTTACTTTGACCTTGGATTTTGTCTTTGACTCTAATGTACTTGACAGTCCAGGCTGGAACTGATGATTGGCTTTCACATGACATCATATTTGAAAACACGAAAACCCTACGGCGGCGATGCGGCACTGCTATGTCCGTGGACATACAATATAGCCCTGAAAATAGGTCGTGGCATTTTTTGTCGTCCTTAGATGAAATATATACATGGCATTCATTTCATCCTTTTTATCCGGAAGCTTCCAAGTATCATCGTCACTGCTTGGCTCAGTTATTTGACCTCTGGAGGTTAATCTTATTGTGCTAGAGCAAAACGGATTGCATTTTCGTCATCATTGGGTCGTACTCGACCTTAAAGCTGATTTTAAACGGAATCACGTACTCCACGCAAAATTCGAATATGAATAGGTCGCTACATTAACGGACGTTGCGTCTAATTATTATCTGCTTTATTTTGCATATTTATATGAAAAACAAAAGTTTGGTTCGCGATCGCTGTATGAGACCCTCACAACTTGTCTAGCATGGTGCCACGTCCTCTCAGCTCTGCAGTCTGCCTGCCGGTGTAACTTGACCTCGCCTGGCCTGACCTGGGCTACCTGCCCTCCGGCCAGTGTGACCTTCCGAAGGAGGGGCTGGCGGCCAGCCCTGACAAGGTCGCCGAGTGGGCACAGCAGCACGGCTTCGCCGGCTGGTTTCAGACCTCAGCCAAGGAGAACAACGGCATCGAGGAGGCAGCCCGCTTTCTCGTCAGCAAGGTAACACACGGCCACCGCCCTGCTGCAGGTCAGGGTGGACGTGATGAGGCGGCCCCAGGGCTTCCAAACGAGGTCACGGGACAGAAAATGGCTGGAGTCGACCAGCCGAAACAGCTAACATTGCCAAGTGGTGCTGTGCGGAGGTCGCTCTTGGAATAAGCGAGCGTACTTTATTGATGCTTTAAACTGCATCCAGGAATCATCAGAAGTCACAAAACGAGAAGGTGTGCATAGTTAAGTGAGTCCAGCTTGCCAGTGATGGCAGTTATTGGAGACAAAATCAGCAGGGTACGGAGCGTTGGTATCATCCGTATGTGGCCAGAGTGTCGGGTGATGTTTCGTGATATGCTGAGGAGCTTCTTGTTTTAACCCTCTTGTTTTAACCATCATCTTCTCGTTTTAACCCTCCGTTCCCATCCCATTTGCTAGCGTTCATCAGCATCATCGCTCAGCACCCGCTCCCTCCGCGACGCCTCGCGGTTCTCTGACAGCGCACGCGCCCCCAGATTCTGGCGCACGAGAAGAGCGGCAACCTGGGCGGTGGATGGGGACGAACCCTGACCGTGGATGGCCGTGCAGGACGGCGCCAGATTCCAACGGGAGCTGCAGCGGCCTAGGGCCGACCTCAGCCGCTAGGGCCGCCCTAGCCTCGGCGGCGTCGGCGGTAAACGCGGCGTCAGACCTCGTGCCAGCCAGCTGGTCTCAGCGCCGCTGGACGCATGGTGGCGGCCACTGTCGCTCGCTCAACACTGGCAGACACCAGCTGCCAGCAGGTGGCGCCAAGGTCGACCACAGATGGGACCACCCGCAGCTGCAGGTGGCAACGATTTTGCGGGTGGCATCCGCAGGTGTCACCGTCAAGTGCGGAGCCGGCTGCAGTGACGGCGCTGTCGGCGGTGCCTCTGTTCACTGTCTGTTGCGTAGCTGCCCACTCACCTCTCACGGGCCTGTTGCCAGTGGGTGGACGCCGCTGGTGCGCCCGCCCTGACGGCAGCCAAGCCAACTGCGTCTGTACGGGTGCCAGAGAGCTACAGGTGCTGGCCTGTGCGGGGAGAGTTCGGGAGGGGGGAGAGGAGCACCTCATGAGCTCCGAGCCAAACACCGCAAGGTCCGTGTTCGGTGTGCTTGACACTAGGAGTAAGCACACACTGGCACCTTTTACGCGCTCACAGATCTGTGCGACTATCAAGCATTGCTATTCTTGGGTTTTGGGAGTGATGGACGTGAATTTGAAATGCATGGCTTTCATGAGTGTTCGTCATTGATGCCATTTCGGTGCATTCTTTTATGGTATGAATGCTGAAAATAGAATGATTATCTGGGCCCAACGCTGGATTGGCAGAAGTTGCAAACAGGCTGAGTTTGAATGCACATGCATCACAGACGGTTAACTTAGGTAATGCCATGAACCCAGGGATATCAAATAAAACACACGACAACTTTGAGGTCTAGGTGCTCCAAGGTGTTGACTGCACCACCGTGAATCGAAGCACCGCCAGTGAAGTCAATCGTACAAGATCGCGGCAACGCTCGGCTCCCTCGGCTGGTGAACATGGCACGTTCAAGATCCAGGTCATTAGACTTCAAAGGTGATCAGATGACCGTACATCACCTTATGCTGCACACAAGAGGTTCTAACGTCTAACTGTGCTTCGATTCTTGTCTGGCGACCCCGGGTGCTTCTATGACCACTACCGTCGCTGCCATCCCTTAAAAGTATGCTCGTCATCGTGCTCTACAGCAGGTTCACGGTAGCATTTATAGGCGACTGAAGCTCATTGTTTCGAAGGTGTAAACTCAGAGTCACACATGACGTGTCATGCATGAACTACTTCATGTGAAGTTCATGTCATCTGCTTCGGTTATATGTGAGGTGCTTCAGGTGCTGTTTGCTTTGCAAGAAAGTGCAGAAGCATAAATTGGAGCTTAATCTGTCGAAACGGTAGAAGCAGATGATATTAACATGTATACTGTGTGCTGTTCGTTGTTATTAATTCTAGCATCAATTCGTTCACATATTCACAACGCATTTTGCCGTTCTCCGTCACCTTCCGTCCCTTTTGAGTCCTTCGACCGATCTGCATTAGCCGTGATTGCCCAAAACGGGCGTCTTTGGTTTTGGTGAGCAGAATTTTCTTGAGCCGATGGTAAGCCTGCATCCCATCGCGCAGTTTGACTCGGCTGAGATCAGAGCAGACCGCATACCAGACGGAGTTTTCCAGCGTCATTCTGCTCATAGTCGATTTCCAGGGCTCACATGGGTCGGGTAACGTCATCACGGCCATCATCATTAATTGCGTGTCGTCTTTAGTCGACGTCCTTTCCAATCATGAGTCAGTAGAGTGTCCAAAACAAATGCAACTCATTAATCACGTCAGATATTCCGTGCCTGCCAACGTTTCTATTCCCGCTTTGTCAGGCCTAAATCTTTCACTATTGTTGGCTGCTATTTAGTCGTTATTGCGAAGTGATTGTTGAGTGGCCTGGTTATGACGCTGACGTGTTTTAATGACCAGAAACACCGCTGTATTCGGATGCGCTTTCGCCAGGAAACGTTCCGCATTAGTGTTCTCAGTTCCTCAAAAATAAGCAGGGTCTTTTAAGCACAACGATAATCCTGATAACTATCTCTACATGGCACGCGATGACGCCTGTCACAGTAATCCAAGGCTGGGGAACATCTCTTCTTTACCAGCTGTGTGGAGGGCTAGAATGCCGCGGGTCTGTCATCACAAGCCCGACAGTGGGCCGGCGGGATGATCCACTCCGCCCCACTTGGCCCGCCCCGGCCCCCAGTACCGCCGACAGCTGCCGCTAGTATCGCCAGGGCTGCGGCTCTGTTCCGGTGCGGTGACGCGGGGAACGGCGTCCCCTCTTCCCCGGGACTCCCGCTGTGTCCCAGCGCGACGGGTCGTTCTCGTACCGCAGGTTGAACGGCGGTCAGTGGCTGATATCGCATGACTTGCGTCCACGTATCACGCAGCTTTTTAAAAAGAAACCTTGGAGGAAGCACATACTTTGAACCCTATAAATTCTTTACACGCATCGCACGGCTGTAGCTAATATTGGATTGATGAGTATGGGGAGTCCCGCTTAGTAAGGAACTACTTGCAGCATGACTGTCAGCATCCAAAACGCTATCAAACACATGGTCCCATAAACTGCGATGAAGCGGAGAGGGAGGGGGGAGGGATTGGAGGAAGAGGCAGCGGTCCCGACTGCAGCAAAACCAAACATGTGTCTCCAGCTATGGATACATTTTAAAAAGGATGATAATATTACATACAAAACCTATTTAAAAAGCGCTACTCCTCCAAGTCTGATTTTGGGTTTTCTCGGCACTTAATGACTAGTCGTATATGTAAATAACGGCGGCTCAGCCAGGTTCAGTCGGGTCGGACCATCTCGACTCAGTGGGCTCTGGGCAGCGGGTCAGGAGTATGCCGCCTTCAGCGTGTTCTCTGCGCGAGCCTTTAAGCTGTACGATCTCCGGAATCGCTGCAACAAATAAAGTGGGCATTGTCAGTGTACGTAGCCATTTTGGCGTCACCTATGCAAGATTAAAAGTCGTTTGTTGCGGTTGAGCAATTAAGCGATTGAGCGAGGACCCGATGAGTGAACCCAGGGCCACGCCATACATCACCGGAGCACAGGCACCCCTATGCACATGATGGGAACGCTCGCTTAGCTGGTGCTGGAACCAGTGCGCTTCAGCGGTATACCGCCCGAACTTCTGCACGAGTCGGCGAAGCAGGACGCTGTGAAAGGCTTAGCTGCCCAGCTGTTTCCAGATGGGTGACTGGCCACGTGTGTAAACTGTTGACAATGAGCCTGACAGCGTTCAATAGTGCCGACTCCGTGGAGTGCCCGTGCTGAGAGCCATGCTGCTGCTCACCGATTACGTTACGGCTCGGCGGATACGCTATCAGCTGATTGCCAACGACGCGATCGGGCACTTTGGCTGCCGCCGTCAGAGTAGATATGGGACTAGTTGTTTTGGTCGGATTTAGAACCTGACTTGTGAAGTAGTGAAACCTGGGCTCCCTTCCAGGCGTTAGCAATAGGGCATATTCGACACGATGAAACGAAATACAAGATGTAAAATTAGCACAGGAATCGAATAGCGTGTTCAGAATGGTATGGTTAACCCAATCACCTCTCCCCATGGCTCTTTTTGTACATAGAATCGCTATATACCTTTCAGAGGACTGGAAAATTGTTGGATGTAGGGATGCTTTTATGGTGGCTGCCGATTTCACCTACCTATATCTGCCTTGGCCCTTGGGGGCACTGAAACATTTCGCCATTCACCCCTGTCCCATTTACCCAAGCTCATCCATCTTCGGAGCGGGGATCGCGCTCTGCAATTTGCGAAGCATGTGAACGCATGAGTGGTGTTTTGTGTAGTTTCGCTCAACTTAAGGTTGATCGCAAGGTGTATGCCAATTACACACGCGCGATCAATGCATTAGAAGCCCAGTTGAGACGCAAGGACACCAAAGCATAATAAACAGTGAAATGAAAATGAAGCCGAACATAATAAGGGCTGTAAGGAAGTTGTGCATAAGTTGCCCCGTAACGGATTGCTGAAAGCGTGGGTCCTTCCATGCGGTGCGACGCGAGTTGTGATAGCATATGGAAAAAGAACGATAACCGAGCATGGCGGAGATCACCCTTCACTGTGTTCTGACGCGAAAGGAAGTGTTCGCGGTTCTCCGGTGCAGGGCCGCACACACGTAACACGGAACGCACACGTCCACGCATGGCACTACGCAACTGACCGTCGTCTGTGAGCCTCGAGCAGGATGGATGTGTAGGTGTGACCTTGACCAGAGGCGTGTGTCTTTCGATGATCATCAACCACGCCGACGGGCACTCCGACCGTCTGTCGCTGGTGGCGTTGATCTGCCATGATTATTTCGGGCCTGTGCGGCCTCTCACCGTCCAGGCGCGACTGGGCGACAGCTGGATAAAAATGGATAGTGGTGGATGTGGAAAGTGGTCCATGCAGCTGATCGGGACCGCCGTGCATTGGTCGTGACGTCGCCTGCCACGGGGACCATGAATGGCCGATGGCAGACCGCGGCCTGGTCCGGTCTGTGCTGAGGTCGGAATCCACGCCATCCTTAGCCTGGTCTGTTTCGCTATCATGTCTTTGAGGAGATGTAAGCAGCATCGTACTCCCAGCTTGTCAGAACACATAACACAGGGATGAATGTCTCCAAAAACAAAAGCATTCGCTCACAGACAGCGGAGATACACCAGCTGACCCTGGAGGTCCTCCGTGGGGGCCCTCCACGGGGCCCTCCGTGGGGCCCTCCGTGGGGCCCTCCGTGGGTCGCCCGCAGAGGCGGCCGGCCGGTACGCAGCGCCAACTATCGTCGACCGCCAGCCTCTCAGGCTGACCTTTACGCTCTAAAACGACGAGCGCCACTTGATTGCACATCGAACTGTTCAACATGCCAGCGGGGCGTCACTTAATGTGCTTCCTGCGGGGGGGGGGGGCTGAGCCCGCTAGCGCTGCCTGACCCCCCTCCCCCCCTTTCCAATGCTCCTCTGAACCCTCTCAATGCATATGAGCGAGCGATGCATGCTAGGCCAGAGAAATACAATAAAG